ATATCACTAACCAAATTATAGGAATTGATAATAATATGTCTAGACCAATTCTATTGCAATACTTAGCACAAGATAAAAAATGATATCTAGTCACATTTCTCCTAATATTTTAAAAGGGAATTATTAATAATCTTCAAAGTAAATGCATCACAGCTGCACAGCTATTCATGATATAGTCCCATTCAAGGCTTTTCTGTTTTCTTTGCAGATGGCAAATGAAGGAAAAACCTAGTCATATGCAGCATTATATTGGCTTGAGCATTAGCAAAAAGAAAAAGAAGCAGCGGAGCCTACACTGTGAGAGTAGACATCACCCTTATCTTGAACATGTACATGTTTGTACCAGAAGGGTACTGACACATCAATCAGTGTAGGCCTATCACACTGATCAGCCAAGATGTCCGTAGGAGTTCATGTATGATTGGCTATAGTGGAATATGAGGATCATGGCAGGCCGGAGCTTACACAGCTTGCAAGCATAGAAAAAACAGAGATGTGGCCTTATGCATCTGATCTACTGGCCTATGTACAACATGAGCAGATTCTATCCTTGTAGATACTGTGCAATGTACATGATGTCCGTTCATGAAGGGATTTCCTAGTGCCACTCAGAGCCACATGCTGGGCTTCAGGCACTATAAGCCACTCAAGTGAGAAACAGATTGTACCTCATTCTTTATACATTTGGCTGTAGCATTAATAATTCTGTGAGAAATGAGGCTAAAAAGACTAAACCTACTTCTGAGGGGCTGTTTCTCCTCAATGACCACAGTCTGGGCCAAAAATCTATCGGCTATATAGTGTACACGACTTACAGCAGACTGTGCATGATGTGATAGGATGTCCCCTAGTATGAGTGACAATTTCACCAAGCTGGGATAGGATGTCATCCAGCATAAGGGGTTAAATAAAATACACAAATATATCTCCCAAGAGCATTTCAGTCTAAAGTTTTCTGATTCCTAATACTCCTGCTACAGCATGCGAGAAAAGAGAGAGAGAGAGCCATTTACAAAGAAATAGCAGTCAAAAGCAGCCTATAAACGTACTTCATTGTACTGCCACCGGAGTGGTATGTCTGGCCGAATTCCTTTTGTGCAAACCGCTTCCTTCATATCCTCAAAAGATGGGTCAGGTGGCACACAGTCGTAGTAAGGCAGCTGATATTCATCGGCCATGAGTAACTTCTCCCCACTCTCACTGGCACATCTGGAAAGTAGAAACACAGAAAAACATCAATCAATCGTCCCATCAACTTCATCTAAAAAGTAACAGTGCAATGAAAAATCAATTAATTACTCAGTTTAGATATCTATATAACTCTCTAGTGGCTTCTTTAAATATGTTAAGTTTTCCCCTTTTAAACACAGCAGATGGGTTTATGCAGTGCTAAACTCATGGCAGGCAAATTCAAAATATTAACAAGAATTTCTAGGTAAGTTCCACAGCTCTGGAATATCAGATACCTTGAAAAACAAATTCTAACCCTGCTTACTTACCTTCTGACTATTTCCCATATGACAAGTCCAAAGGAATACATATCAGCCATCTTGAAGGACTCAAAACAGCTCAAGTTTATGGTTTCGTTAAGGACTTCTGGCGCCATGTATCGTCTGGTCCCCACTTTTGGATTTGTGCCTAGGTCTAGGTCATTGCTTTCACTGGAAAATTTGGAATCAATGAATAAATATGTATGTAAATCATTAAATAAAATATTACTCCATATCAGCATTTTAAGCTGTGATTCTTACTGTTTCCTGCTATTCTGATAGAAACTAACATCAACACTATCTAGGTATATGAATCTTATTGTAAAAAAGCACTTTCATTGTCGAGATTTGAAAGCAAATACTAAAAACAAGAAGGTTAACATATGAATTATAGACTAGCGCATTTTATCATAAGGATACTCCTTCAAAAAACAAATGTAACACTAATACTTATGACAATTTAATCCAATGGTTCTAGGTATATGCACTGGCAATTTTATTTGCACTTGTTGGCTTCACAAGTATTTTGTAATCACAAACTATGCCTCAAAAAGAACTAATTCTCTTATCATCATTATCAATGTTATAACCATTATTGTTGATTCACCATGATTTTAACATAATCAGTAATAATGATATTAATAAAATAATTTTTCATTTTGATAATTCAAGAACAGGGTATAAAGATGAGTTCAAGTAGGCCATCTATATGTAAACAAATTACTAAACTAAGATTACAATGGACATAGTGTGTACAACAAGTTCAGAATAAATCAAAAGGTAAATAACTGCTATTTTGGTGAAACAATCTAAAGAGATTATCTGCTTTCATGATCTTACATTGTTAACCAATATTCTGAAGCCTACATACATATCTTTCTATTGCTTCAATTTTACTTGGCTATAAATGAAAATATTTACATACATATGAGGCATATATTAATGTCTCTCTAATCCTAATCATCAATACTGGAAATAAACTTAAATATCAGTATAAGTATAAATATGAA